ATAGGGGCTCTATTGGCTCTACAGGTCAGAGCCTGCTTATATGTTACACAAATAATGTTTGGATATTAATGGACATACTAGATTTGACGTTGTGGTGTGTGTATGTTGGCGCAAAGTGGCGGAATGACTTAATTTGCGGTCTGGAGAATACAGTCTGTGTTTTGGTTTTCCCTTGTTGGCTTTGCTTTACACTTGAGACTATTCCATCTCTCTGTGTTTGCTTCTGTACCCAGCCGGCCAGATTGAGTGGAAGCAGGACAGCCCCCAGGGGGAGCCACATTTGGCACAGCCAGTCCTGTTGAAGGGCCACTCGGGGGGGCCTCGAGAGAGCAACTCGGCCTTTATTAGCAGCAGTGGAGGAGATGGAGATTGCTAGTGTGGTGCTGATTTTGTGTGTGTGAGAGAGAGGGAGAGAATTCAGTCAAGCATTTCTGAGCTTGTTTCTCATCTTTTGGCTTTCTAAGGAGAAAGAAATGGTCAAATGTAAAGTTTAGGAGTCATTACTTTAGATTTGTGTGCTTAACAGGAAAATTAAGAAATGATAATGATATTTTGGAATAGTGTGTTGGATCCTCTCCTTAGGTCCTATTTTGATGGCTTCCTCTCTTTGTTTTTCAGGTACCCATCATACCCATCGTTTTCTCCTCTTACAGCAACTTCTACCTACGGAAAGAAAAGCAGTTCAAATCTGGTAACTCAGCTTGATGGTCCTCGTTTTTCCAGATTTTTCCACTGCAAGCAATCCTTACTGTGTCCGCCATCTGTATCTCTGTGCAAAAAGCTAATTGATGAGACTTCTAACAGTGAGATTTTGTACCTCCGCAGGGACCATCAGATTGAAGGTTCTTCCAAAGATCGAGACAAAAGGGGATGACGTCAGAGGACATATCATCCCTCTCTGACAAATCCTACAACCTGATGCGCACTGCCTTCCTGAACATCTCTGACTCCGTAACCCAGAGCAACGGGCCGTCGAGGCACTGAACAACTGAACATTAAACACACACCCGCCTCTTGTTCTCCTACCTCCCTGTTCGAGACCCCCACCCCCCACTCCCCCCGGCCCTTCCCGCTCCCCCCTGGCCAGGAAAACAACACGACACAGGTCTCTTGTCGTCATGAAATCTCTTATTGTCTAGTTGACGCCTGGTCCAGTCCACCTCTGGCCTGACCATACAGCACATTCAGTCCCGACCCTCACTGTGTCTGCAGCAGCACCAGCAGCAGCACTGCTCTGCACGCCGTGAGCGGAGTGACGGACGGCAAGCCGAACAGTATGGATGTGTGTTGTTCTTCGTGCATGCCTTTTGGATGGCTCTGTCCACCTTCATCGTTTGCTTTGTTCTTTGGCTTTGGAAGCCGGGCTTTGTTATTGTCTTACTTTATCGCCATTTTGTACTTTACCGCCCTTTTCTCCCCTTTATTTTTTTATTTATTTATTTTTCTCCATCTGCCTTCTGATCCCTGGCATTTTCTCATTTCTGTTTATAAATGTCAGTGGATACAAATTTTTCCTCTCATGCTGCTTTTCATTTTTAGTTCTCTTTGGACGCACACAAACATTCAAAAGTACTACTTCTCCTTGCTACCTTTCCTTTTAGTGTGTTCCCCCCCTTTTCTGCATTCCAGTATCTTGCCGAAAGACAAAAGGAGAGGTGGTTTCCACGTGTGGTGGAGTGTGTGGAGGCGAGAGGTTGACGCTGGGCGACCGTGGACTGCTATTTGTTCTGTCGCTATGAATTCTACTCTGTATCCATATTGACCCTTCAACTCAATGACCAGTGCTCCATGATATGCCTCATGATGTCAGAAAGCAAGGAATTCAAGGTTACGAGATACAGTGTAAAACAATAGCACGCATCTGTACTGATTTAATGGGCTTAAGTGGACTGATCAGTTATCAATGTGCATTATTGGTGCTTTCTTTTAGTTTGTCTCCAAAAGATTATAAATGACCTGCGTGCACCATTGAGCAGCAAGTGTCCTCTCGCTGTGTTCTTTATTTTTGCTTTCTATTTATTTCTACATCGGTTAATCTTGTTATGTTTTTCTTTGTTTTGTTTTTTTGTTTTTTTTTAGAAGTGATCACACGTTTTTGCTCCCTGGACAGAATTCACAAGTGAACCAATTTTAAGATGTGTCAAAAAGGTGATTTCCTATTGTGCAATGTCAGACTGTTTTAACATTACAGTTCCAAAGTGCAAGCTACCTGCTGTGCCATGATAAAAGTCCATTATTGTCTCACTATTACCTGCTTGATCAGTCACCCACTGACTAATTTCATTTTACCAATGATATTATTTCCCTTTGCCAATGATATTAGGTAGTTCCTGCTGTTAGAAAGAGGGTAAAGCTTTGGCACGCCTACCTACAATTTGTATTTGTTCTGATTAACTTGAAGACTCTCTAATTACTAACAAACCTGGCATACTCAAGTCTACATCTCAGAAGAGTTCTAAGGATTGTACCGGTTTTGTTTATCAATATGAAAGTGAATAATATTGTTTTAGTTGTGATGTCCTGATTTACTTATTACTTAACTAATAGGAGAATATTAGATTATTTAAAAAGTTGTGGAGAATTTGGCCTTATATTTGATTGGTTGTTGTTGCACATTGGCTTGTTTGGCAAGTTTACTTATGATCAATTTTATGTTTTGTAATATGTTCTGACAACAACTTCTAACCAGATAGAACTAACTGAGCTGTTTTAGTTAGCATCCAGTTCTTATATTTCACATTACTCATTGCCTTTACTCTGTCTTATTTCGCTATGCTTTCGCCCATCAAAACACCATCTGAGAATGTATTTCAGCATTCAGGATATTTCCGTACTACTAACTGCATCTTACTGTTTAATTTTTTTGAAATTATAGTGGGGTTTTGTCTTGCACACAGTTAGCATCAACTCCTGTAAATGTATTTATTTGACCATAAAATGTTAAATGTAGACTGTCCTGTACACTAACCCTCTGAAGAGGTACTCCTGTGAACGGATTTATCAATACTTTGGTACTACGCCTGTAAACTGCTGTGCATAGTTGAGTACAACAGTAGTTTTAGTGATACCTGCTGGGCTGTCGGCTTTAAGTACATGTGATGGTCAAAGCTTTATTCATGTTCAAGGCCACTCTGGAATTATTCGGCCCTGCCACAGTAATACTAATTGATAAAATTCTGTATTTCTTAATTTGAACATATTTATTGCTTTGTTTTAATCTGTAAGATTTGCAGCAAGTGGTTTGATCATTTCAATTCATTTATTTCCTGTTTACTTCTCAGTTATTTTGTAATACAAATGTGTGAATTGTAAAGCTTTGTATCATGAGCTTGAACAGGTGGCTAACAGGCTCTGCAACAACCCTGCTGGTTGATTTCGGGCAGTTGTTTACGAACTCATATGTAAGATATTGGGAGGGAGAGATTGAAAGTATTCTGAACCTTTTTGATAAAGCACTTTTCATGCTGAGTTTGGGTGGAAAAATAAAACTGACAAAGTTTTCACCAAAGCTATTAAAGTGTAATTGGTAGTAGCTTTAAATGAATATGAGAAGCAGAGCTGACATCCTGCAGAGCCTTTTATGTGTGTGGTCCCTTACTGTATGTGTATGTGTAAGTATGCACACATGGTATAGACGCCCATTATAGTATCTGGTTAATACTGATGATGTAGTGTTCTTGATTTCACCTATTCTGGGTAAACGTGAATGCCTTGCAAAAGAATGAATAAAAATTAATTCTTTTTTTTTTTTCTTAAGTGGTTGTGCACTGAAATGCCTGCTTTGCCTTCGTCTGTGATTAAATCAGTCGGTGGTGGAAAGTAATGTTAATACATTTTAAGGTACTTTACTTGAGTATTTCCATTTTATTGTTACTTTATACACTTTATACTTCTACATTGCCGCATTTCAGAGAGAAATATTGTACTTTACACTCGACTACAATTTATCTGATTGCTCATTTCTAGATGAATTTGAATAGGGCGAACATGGTGAAAAGCCAGTATTTAGTGTACATTATTGAGTCTCATTAATTATTAAGTGTCATCATTTTACAACAAATGAATTTTTGGCATTTTTCTTGATTCTAAAGCAGTGATTCATTCCGTCTTCTTTCTTTCTCACACTCAGTTTTTCTGTCGAAAAAAAACAAGATTGTCACAACATTAAAATACTGCTTTCACATTAATGTGTAGATGATTTAAAAATTAATTCTGCATAATGAATACTTGTTCTTTTGATAGCAGTACAATTTTTAATGCAAAACCCTTATTTGTTTTAGAGTATTTTAACAAAGTGGTGTTGATTACTTACAGGGTTCGAGTTACGTGGGAGCTCAGCTCCCATTAGGAGGGTCTGAGCTTCCATGGTAGCAGTAAAATCATGCATCTGTGGGGGTCACTAATTCATTAATCAACATTATTTTGAATCACAAATAATGTATTTTTCATTGTAATTTGTACCTACTATTAGTTTTACGTTAAAAAGATGAATTAACTTACTAACCTAATGAACTACGCTGCGTACCGCATGACAAACCGGATGGCTGCACTTCTCTACCATCAGCCACTATCGTGCGCACAGATTTGCAGGTTGAACTCAGGAACTCAGTTGTATTGTACTGGATTCTCTGTATTGATTACTGCTTATTTGTTTAGTATTATTGGCTTTTTGATGCATCCTCCAAATAGTACAGCGCTACATATGATAATATGCTTGCTATTGTGTGCCGGCGGCCAGCAGTGCGTAAAATAACACTTTAATATTATATACCTACCATAAAGGGCAGAATTGCGTCTCTCCTTGAGCAATACATAAAATATAAATAGTCTTTGATGGCACTTATGTCCTCCACTACTGATGATAGCACATATAAGAGGTAAACAGGAGACATCCAGTGTTGTTAGCTTAAGTGTTTGTTTGTTAACTTGTATCAGTAGTATACAAGCCATTTGCAAAGATCATTCAGTAATCCTTTCATATTAATGAGCACACATGGTGATTTGATTAAGACCTTTTATTACAAAATGTTACAAAACTAGGTAAAAAAAAAAAGTCTATTGGCGCATTGAGAAATAACTACAAGTACTTATAATTTAAATAGATAAATACAGATGTCCGTGTCTGCCTCAGGACAATTTGGGCTTTGACAGAGGACACAGCTGCACTGATGCAAAACAAACACAGAAACAAAGTGGCCAATGTGACCTTTGATCCCAACAGGGGGTTTGATTCAGATGTTACAGGGATGATGCAATACTGACACTGACCCTGGCACGGTTACAAAATCAAAAATTTGACAGTAATCCAACAAGAAATGTAAATGAAGCTATTGGGAAATCACAGATGATTTGTGTGACATGAACTGCGGCCGTCTCTGCAGCCATCCCCTTTCTTACAAACGCCAGCCGTCTCGGTGTGTACAACCTCTGGCAGGTTTGTGTCATCATTATTAACTTCATGGGAGATGTCTGGGAATGTTGCAGGTCATGTTCGGTGGCTAATTCTCCCGGCAAGAACCTACATGGGAGGAGAGCGGAAAGAGTTACAACACTATATTGTCCGCTTTCTTATCCAAAGTTTATAAATCAATTGCATACTTTATGGCAGTGATTGTAAAATTGAATAAAATCTGTTATACACCATGAGACCATGCTTTGATTTCATTTTACCCACTGGAATCCTAATTGAGGGGAATTCACAATTTAAAGATTGTTGGCCTAAAATTTACATAGTTGAAGATTCATGATCGGAAGTCCCATAATGTAATAATTGACCATAATGTAATAAAACCAAATGTGATAAAGCTCAGAACATAATAAAAATCTCCAACGCTGAGTTTCTCAAGGTCAGGATTCCATGTGGGAACGCCTCATATGCAACTAGATATTCCAAGACAGTGTCAAGACAAACATAAGCCATACTGAAATTGACATGATAACTATTCTTTTTTAAAAAGCAGACAGTAAATCTTAAATTAATAGATTTGCCCTTAAATTTAAAATTTAAAATCAAGGTTTATGAAGGTATAACTGCATTAATTAATGTGCTTTAAAATTAAAAAACCTGATTTTATAGACAAGAATAGATATAATAAAAACAAGCTTGGTTTGATTGACATCTTTACTGTTCTTTACACTAAACATTATGGCTGGGCGATATGGGCAAAAATGTTATCACGATAAAAACATTTCCTATCAGTTGATGATGATAAATGTCAAATCATTATTTCTTTCAAGTTTAATGGCTGATTTTTGCCCCTGAATGAAAACTGAAGGCCAGATGATTAATTGTGTGGTTAAACTATTCTTTATGATCAGAACGTGACAAACACTTTCTGCCAAACAGTGGGTCACTTCACAAATCTGAGGTAGAACATTCAAAAAATATGATTAGTAACTCTTTTTTCAGTCCCTTTGCCTCAACAAAATAAACCTTCATAGAAAAATTAAGTGCTAATTCATTTGAGATTCTAATAATTTAAATCAAATATTTTTTGACAATTTGTTTATAATTTATACTGTTATTGAGGAAAATTATATTGTGATAATTATCATTATTGTTTTATTGCCCAGCCCAACTATACATGCCTATGTACTTATTAGTCATCATTTTCACTAGAATAAGCTGTCAGTGTTAAGCACTGGACAGTGTGTCAATCAAAGGCCATGTACAAGTGGATTAGTGACTTACGACTGACACGTCTAGTCAGTGTTAAACTTTTAAATGCTCAACTTAAATGATAAATGATTTAGCAAAGCTAGTGGTGTGGCTGTAGGGGTGGCAGTGTCGGTTGCTGGTCAGTAGACTTTTTGGTCCAGACTTGCTACTGACTTTGCTGATCCCCTGGCTTTTCATCTAGTGCCACCATGAGGTTGACTTTTGTGGTGTTGAATGAAATTGTCTGTACAAATACTGGATGGAATGCTTTGAAATTTAGTACAGACTTCATGTTCTCCTAAGGATGAATTGTAGTATTTGGGAATCCCATCATCATTTCAAACTTTTTGGTTTTTCCAATACTCATCTGTCTCTCAGCTGTACTTTGTGTTTAGTGCAAATTAGAGTATGTTATCGCTGCAGTGTTTAAATACTCTTAAACTCCTACTTGTGTTATCTAATCTTGTCTTAATTAGGTTAAAATTTAAGAGCAAATGTATCATTTCACTTACAGTTTGATTTACTTTGATTGTATCATTGAACTTATAATGTCATAGCCAAAAAGGTTATTGTGTTACAAGCACAAGATTTTATTAATTTATTGGATTTTTGGTAATATGAGCTGTAATACATTTCATTTTATTACATTATGGACAATTGTTACATTTGGTCTTTTACGTGGTCTCTGATCTTTTTGAAGAAGTTGAAGTTGAATCCTGTTGCTGCTTTTCTGGGACAAAACATTCTAGTTGTGTTCAACTAAATATTGGATTTTCTCTCCTCCTAAGTGCGTATGCTTTGAACTACGAACAATCAAAGGTCAGCCTGTGGTCACTCACATGTGCCGAGGCGCTCCTCCAGAAAGCCAACCTGCTCACTAAGGGAGTCGATGCGGTCTAGTTGCTGGAAGGAGTGAGACAGTAAGGTGGTTTTCTCTGACAAGCCCTCGTCCAGCGACAATGGGAAGAAGCTGCTGAAGGGGGCCAACACCAACTGCAACTTCTGCACAGAGCGAGAAGGGGAGATGTGGGGAAAGAGAAGGAAAAGGACTATTACTCACCTTGTAAACAACATATGTGACCTGCAGCAAAATTAATCATTCATTTACCCTTTCTGCTTGTTACATTAAACATAGGCAGGATTCTAATAAAACACATAAAAAATTCAAGAAAACTGTGTAGGTCTGGCATTTCAAAGCATCTTTGATTTGGGGATTAAATTACTAGGATTTTATATCATCCCATCATACAACGTTCAGAGGTGTTCCTGGTGAGCGAAGCTGGGAGGTATCAGGGTAGGTGGCTTTTATTTGTGCGCTTGTGTTGGAACATGTGTGCGTGAGTTTTTTTTCTGTGTACCTTTTCCAGGAGCTCTACTCTATTCCTCAGGCTCTGTACCTCCTCCGTCACATTCTCCACCAGGCCGAACCTTCCACCTGTAGAAACCATACAAATACAGATATATACATCAGAGGAGGGCGACTACAGCGTTTGAATTTGTGGAAACTTAAGTGAGGAGAGAAGGGTTAGGGCAACGATCAAAAGCGAGAATGATGCGTTTACTCCTCTCTCTCTGATCTAAAGTTTATTTCTGGGAAGATTCCTTCAAGCATCCTGCCCCTCACCAATCCCTCGCCTCGAGTGATTCAAGGTCAAAGAAGTGTCTCTAAACTCCAAACCAGGAAGAGGACAGCAGAGCTGCAGGGAGGCCAGGAGAATTTAGGGCACAGGGGGGAATCATGGATACGGGAATGGCCAAAAAAAGCTGATACATAAGCTGAAAGAGAGGTCACCAGAAATAGACAAGCACTCATTCATCCTTTCTCTGCCTGGAAGTGTCTGTCTGGCTCCACCCGGGGGGAATGGAACAGGCGGGACCCAGATCGGGATGCAAAATTGGGGACCCCCTGCTTTCTAGCTGTGCTTTAGCAGACAGATCAAGAGTAGCTCAATTTCTCCCAGATGTGGTCCATTACTGAGACAAGAAGTTCAGAAACAGGGTGAGGAGGAGGAGGGGGAAGAAAAGGGGGGGAGCTGGCGATGACCCCCAGCAGACAGGGTTGATGGAGTTGGAATGAGAACACAAGTGTTGGCCAAGAGAGCACAGTGAAAAAGAGAGACGGGGAGGAAAAAATGAGGAAGATGGAGATGCACAAGTTTTGTCCAACACTCCTCCACAGCAGCTTGGCAGTCAGAGCGGTGGTCTACTTTTTGAGCATTTAAACCCGTGTTTATATCTGTGATCTACATCAACATCCTTCTGACGTGTGCGTATGAACAGATAATGGAATGCAGCCTCAAGCAAAACATCTCTGCTGGCCTTGCAGTTTTGTATGCGAGAGCTGAGCGATGAAACCCTCTGCTGCTTTCAACCAAGCAGAAAGATATGTCATATTTTGGCTTTTTTTTTATCCTCCCCTTTTTTTCCTTCATGTGGTTTTTCTGTCTTTTTGCTGACTCGCCAATAAATGCAGGACTGTCAGGGGAGTGAACGGTTGGTCTCATTTTAGCTGAGGAGTTCTATTTTATGTGAATTTAGTCTTTCTTCTGTACAGAAACACTGATAGATAAGGGGGAGTTTTGAAGCAGAGCCTGAGAAATTTGGCAATCTCACATTTACATAGAGATATTTCATGTTCTGACAGAGCATGAGACAGTATCCCCTTTCAATTTGCAGTTTGGTGACTCACAAATTCCCAAAGGTGGAGAGACGTGGGAGAAATCGGGAAAAGTAAAGTCTTCTTTAAGGTTTCATGTTGCATTAAATCCCAAAACGCTGAAACGAATGGTCCTGGGGGCAATGACCACATTTGTAGACATGGAGGGGGGCTGTATTATTTAGTTGCTAAGTTACAGGAAGCACACAAAAACAATTTTCTGCTAAGAGACAACATTACAACATTTTTAAGGGAACTACTGGAGTGTGCGGATAAAAATATGTCTCTATCAGCATGGGAGCTCTATTAGAGTCAGATGTTTGCTATACTTACAGGACTCATAGGAGTCAACTGAGTCATTATCAAAGACCAACTGATCCCAGTCTCACCACACGGGGCTAGACCACAAGGCATCTGTCTGGAGTTGGCACCAGTCGCAGTGCATTATTACTCACGGTACGAGTTGAGAGTGGCATAGCGCGTACCAAAAGTAATAATGGACCGCGAGGCTGGCTATGTTCTTTTCTTCTGTGCTCCAGACACTTTGCTGCTGCAAGACACAAAATTGTACTACGTGAACGCACGCACACACCTATGCTACTCATTTACCCGCATCTGTATGACCACCCACTGTTGGCTGGCTGGTCTGAGTGGGAGAGGGAGGAGTGGCAGGGGGAGGAAGAGGAGGCAGAGGAAGGCTTTGACAGGAACGGCCATCTCCGGCGAGCCTGAAGCCGTCTCTGCACGTGCATCGATAGCTGCCAGCTGTGTTCACGCACTCCTGAGTGCACGGCCGCCGCTCGCTACACTCATCCACATCTGACAGACAAGAAGGACAAAGAAATGGGTTTATATGTGTGTTTGTTCACAGACACTTGTGAGGTTGTGCAGGTAAGTGTGTGTGTGTGTGTGTGTGTGTGTGTGTGTGTGTGTGTGTGTGTGTGTGTGTGTGTGTGTGTGTGTGTGTGTTTACCTGTTTGGCATTGGTGCCCCGTCCAGCCTAACGGACAAGCACACTGGTTGGGTCTTAAGCAGGTACCTCCATTCACACAGGGTTGTCCACACACAGCTGTAAGAGATATTTAAAAGAATAATTCAACATGTGGGGAAATAAGCTTCTTTGCTTTCTTGTCAAGAGTTAGATGAGAAAATTGATACCATTCTCAAGTCTGTATGCTAAATATGCAGCCAGGCTTAGCACAGAACCTGGTAGCAGGGGGGAAACAGCTTTAAAATCTGCCTACCAGCATCGCTAAAGCTCTGAAATTAACACATTCATTTTTAATTTTTTTCTTTACAAAGAACAATGTGGTTGTGGTTTAATGGTGAGTTATGTGAAATTAGGCCTATTCGCTTTCTTCCTAAGAGATGAGGGCATCAATACCACTCTTAAATCTAAGCGCTAAATATGAAGCTACAGCCAGGAGACAGTTAGCTTCGCCTAGCATAAAGGCTGGAAACACAGGGAGCCGCCACCTCTAAATTTCACTAATTTACACATTATATATCTCATTTGTTTAAGCTGTTTAAAAAAAGGTAAAACAGACAAGTTGTGGTTTAATGGAGGGTATGTGCTGGACTATTTCTTGACTACCTCTTTTCACTGGTTGCCTGCCTGCATGCTGGAGTTTTTATACTTTTATTAATGTTTTTTATTTTTTACTTTTAAGACAGAGCTCGGCTAGCAATTTCTCAGTTTCCAGTCTTAATGCTAAGCTAAGCATCCCCTGGCTGTATCTTCATATTTAGTGTACATGCTTGAGAGCGTTATTGATCTCCTCATCTAACTCTCTGCAAGAAAGTGAATGTGCATGTTTCCCAAAAGGAACTACTTCTTTAACATTTGAAAAATGCTTCCTCTTTCCTCAACAGATGCAGGTAATACAGAAATACGGTAAAACGGATCAACACATAAGCCCATCACGTGCCCCTCCAGGTTACCTTGGTTGCAGTTATGGGAGTGAAATCTCCGCCAGCCCGGGCAGCACTCTGGGTAGAAACGCAAAGGAGGTGCTGCTCTGCTCACCTGCCGGTATGCCACCGCATACACAGTCCTGTGGAGACAAAACACAGACACACATAGTTAGGGATTCCTGGTTTTTCATAATGCTGTCATCGCCCTCGTGTGTAGTTGAGCCGGTCCAATCTTTTCCAAGTTCTGTCAGACTGAGAGAACGTTGTTGAGCGACTGGGAATTTGGTGGAATATTGAAACCACGGACCACTGACTTCCAAGAGTGTGTCAGAGATGAGATAGGGATGGAGGGAGGGTGCAAGAGGCAGGAGAAGAGATGCAAAGTCAGATCTAAATTTCACTGCAGCCTGCTGAGACTCTGGTATGTTTGGTTTGCAAGGAGAGATACAAAGTGATCAACTGAGGCAAAAGCTACAAAGTGAAAGCGACGGGAGGAGTGTTTTCAGAAAACAAAAGGATCAAATAATTTGAATCAGCAAGGAGAATGGGATTAGAGACCTGTAATTGTCTGAGGCCTGCCCACATAATGAGCAAAAAGCATGAAAAGAAACTCCAAAAGTGAAATAGAATTTTTGGTGGTGAGGGAAGAGTTAAAACAAAAGGATTAAATGGAGGGAATGTAAGGGGGGACTCGAAAGCATTAGAGTTGGAGAGAGATTGAGAGTGTGTAAGTATGGTGGGAGATGCAGTCCAAAATAAACATGACCGTGGTCTCTGTGGGCAGGCAGTTCATTTCCCGTAGTTACACAAAGTACTCAATATTTAGATTCCACCCAAATATGTGCCACCATGACCCAGTTCTGTGTGTGTGTGTGTGTGTGTGTGTGTGTGTTGGAGAAAGTCTATTTATGACCATTTCCCTTCCTAAACATGTCAAGCATTGTTTACACCTTCATATAATAAACATCTTGTGATAGCTTAATTAGAACACTGTTTTGACACCGCTATGACCCGAGTCCTCATGGAAACGCCAGCCTGTGTGGATCAGATGGTGTTTCGCCCAACAAAAATGGAGGATGTCTAATAATGTTGTCATTTGTGTTGTTGTGTGCCGGTAAACTCACTTGTATGTGCTGCAGAGCCGGTGCCCCTGGCAAAGGGTGATGTAAGGCTTGTGCATCGGCTGGACATACGACTCTGTTGTCACGACAACGCTGTGACGGAGGTCTCGGCCACACGTCCTCCTCCTGCAAAAGGAAGAAATGAGATTGAACTTCATTGGCATGAAATAAGGACTTTGAGCTTCAAAGAGCATCTGTACAAGAAGCTGTGCTGGTTTTAGATAAGAAGTTTTAGTGCTAGTAAGTCAATTCTAGAGAGATATTTGTGGCTCCCGGCTGGTTCAGAAAGCTCCAAGAACTCCAGATTAGAGTGTCAAAGTTTCTGTTTGTCACCAAAAGTCGACGTGCAGCCTACTTGCCCCTGACTGACTCGTGGAATCACTCTAGAATATGTGTCCGAGTTGAAATTTGACCTTATAGGCTCCACTTGACCTTTGGTTTGGCTTTCAGTTTATTTTGGTCTTTGTGCAAACGATCTGAAAATGACTCCCATTATGGTTATGTGTCTTAAAGTCTAGGATATAAGGGTAGAGCTGTGGTCCTGAGAGAGTGCACTCTTAAATGTTTAAATGTCATTTAACCAATTTGTATACATTCACAGTGGGTGAGAATATCAAGTCGAACGAGGAGGTCGCTAAAACAAACAGGTCTGAATGACAGCCGAAGTGGAGATCTGTGGCTGAAGGACCAAACTGACCAAATGACAGGCCATAATAAACACAGGAAGAGTATTAAGTGAGCTGTTACCCGTGGTGAGTGAAGAACTGCGGTGTGCCCATCACATGAAGGATGAAGAGGGAGGAGGAAAGAAACAGCGTTTGGTACATTGTCTTCCACTTTCCCACGTTCCCTCACTCAGGCTCTCACACTCTTCTGTATGCCAGTTGAAGGGAATAGGAGAGCAGGATGAATGGGGAGGGGGGGTGGGGTGGTATTGGATCGTAGCCAAAGTCTTCCTCACGCCGAATGTGCACGTTATCCTCCAGCAAGATGACTCCAGCTACCTGTAAGGAGTGGAAATTTGAGATAATTATGTATTAAAAGAGCAATTTAGCACTGTTGGTCTATAAGACGGAGTGACGCAGTTCTGTCGTTACACTACAGTTCCTTTAATTAAAATGTCAACCAAACAAATAAATTATTGGCTAGTTCAGTGATTTTTTTGTTTCGTCTTGTCATGTTTTAAATCTAAAATGATCAAATGTTTAACATTCCTATTATTTTTCTCATAGACTGAGTGTGTTTCCCTGGTGAGTGATTTTCCTCCTCAAGTCCTAAAACATGTTTATGGCCAGCAGTAAAGACGCGACCTATGTATTATGTGTGCTTCAAACTGAAGGGTTAGTTTGCTCTCTCTCATTCTAGATATTGGTTTGCGTGCCAGCTCTCAAGTGAAGACAATTGCCAATCCATGTGAAGTAAATGTTCCTGACAACACAGAGAGCCTTTTAGAGAGATATAACTTGTTGCAAGGCAGATGCGTGAATGCATCCTTGGGCCTTTCAGCTGGCACGAAAGTGAAGCCGAACTGTGGACCTGACTGGTTTTAGTGGCTCTAAGTCTGAACTAACCTACTGAGTTCACTCAGCCAAATAGAGGCCATACAAGCACACAAACAGCCACATATGTAGGTCTCTAATACATTGCATGTGGTTATTGGCTTTATATACGGAGTTCTTGCCGACTTTGCAGGTTGAACTCTCTCTGACCTGCACCTGCATGGACTCTGAGACTATAGCACAAAGGACAGGACAAAAGGACAAAGAACTCTCCCTTCACAGAAATGTTCACTTATCTGCTCACACCATTTTGGATTATTACATACTGCATAGGATTAAAAGAAAGATCATCTGTGTGCAAGGAAGAGTGGTAAAGGAGCTCCAGAGTGCATGACAGTCAGCTTGGATCCACTCCTGCTGCGAGGCTATCCTACAGGCACGTTTTTTATCAGATACTGAACCCTCGGGAACGGGGCATTAAAGCCAGCCAGGTGTGATCGCAAGTTACAGGACTGTAGCCTGCAGGAGAGTCTCCAGTTATCCTGGAAATGCTAAGCCTTGGTTAGAAGCTTGCGTGTCTCTCTGATCCCCTTGCTGGCTTGACGCCCGGAGACTGGACACGCACATCTTGAAGCCTGTGTTCATTCACAAATCACGGCAGCGAGGGGGCCACTTTCAATACAACGTGTGTGACAATAAAGCAGCATTACATTGGCAGTGAGGAAGGTGCTGCAAGAGCAAAACAAAAAGTCTGGATACCAGCTGGGTGTGGTATAGCAGTGTCCCTACAAATATGCCAGAAAATAGCTTTTTATTCTGGATGTTATGGAAGACTCAAATCAAATCAAAATATTAAAAATGTTTTGGGATGCATAAAGTACATTACCATTATATATTTCTACACAAGGGATGTACAAGCCAAAGGTGAAGTGGTACATAGCTTAATTATGGAAGCAAGACTTAAATATCCCCCAAATATTCTGAATGTATCTAATTTTGTTTGTGCAAAAAGCACTTTGAATACAATTCATACAAAAAGGATACAAGTAATCCAGGTGAATATCTGTGATCACATAGCTCAGAGCACGTGTTTGTATCTGCATGTCTCCTGTGCGTTAATTATTCATAATGTAATAAGTTCTGGCCTACTGACACATGAGTGAATAACATGAGCAGAAACGTTTCTCACGTTCGTCATGAGAGGGCGCTGTTTTACAGCACTGCACAGGTCTGGCGATCTCTGTTTTTAAGAGCGACCTCCTTAACTCAGAGCACCATCTCTGCTATACTCTCACATACACGCGCGCAGAGTTGCACGCTCACACATGACTCAACATAAATAAAGACATCTAAACGCATTGAAAACCACATTCCTAACACTGAACAACAAGCGCGCACGCTGGACAGCCGTTAGCTACGAGCAAATATCGAGGGTGCATGCATGGATATAAAAATAATCACAAACCGTGCAATCAGCGTTCCTAAAATGAATCCCCCCCTCCCACAAAAAAAAAACAACAACACACAGTCCCACACTGCGGTAAGTAGAGAAACTCCCGCGGAACGAAAGTTAGTCCAGTTATAATCCGCTGGTGAGTTCAAAGCCCAGTGATAAAACTCCGCTACAAGTCAGGTTTCCCCTGCAGCTCAAGACTGTCAGAGAACATGGGGGGTGATGGTAGGACGTCCTCCCACTCCTCCAGCTGGGTGTCCCGGAGCTCAGACTGCCTGTACTGGGTTACCGTGTGTGACGTCACTGTGCAGGCTATGTATACTTCATGATAAACTTCCCAAACTGGGTTTATCGGCTGGCTGGTGGGAAGAGAGACCGCCGCAGAGGTGCGGCTGGTATATTTAAAGGATAGGTTCACAAATTTTCAAGTGTGTCTTAAAAAAACATTCAAGTATGAACATTGTAACAGATGCTGGGTGCTGTCGCCTAATCATTCCTGTCCCTACTGGCCATTAAGGGATCCCTGATCATAACATGCTTCCGATGTAAGTGATTGGGGACAAAATCAGAGGCTTCAGCTGTTTGAGTTAGTCAGATCGTAGGTATCTTCCAAAGTCTTTTTAGTATGACATTTTGAAGTTTAATTTATACACTATATGGACAAAAGTACCGGGGCATCTTACTTTTACGACATCCCATTTTAAATCCACAGGCATTAATATGGAGTTGGCTGTAACAACTTATGGGAAGGCTTTCTACAAGATTTTGGAGTGTGTCTGCATTTTCCCATTCATCCAGAAGAGCATTTGTGAGGTCACTGATGTTCGACGAGAGAGGGCCTGCCTCGCAGTCTCCGTTCTAGTTCATCCCAAGGCGTCCAGTACGGTTGAGGTTAGGGCTCTGTGCGGGCTAGTCAAGTTCTTCCACACCAAATAACCATTTCTTTATGGAGCTGGCTTTATGCACGGGGGGCATTGTCATATTATAAACACGAACTGTTGGAAGAGCTATTGTCTAAAAATTTTTAGATTTCCCTGAAAAAAAGCCTACGATTAAAAACAGCCCCTACCAAAAGGATTAGAACAGGTGTGTACACATACTTTTGGCCATATAATGTATGTTTTGGTGGAAGGATTGTAACACAAAGCAGGGAGTTTGTACTAAAAAAGACAGCAACTTTGGAAGAAATCCTCTGGATTTGGATAACTCAGACAGCTGAAGCCTCACATTGGCTTCAGATAAACTTTTGAATATGTACCCAGAATAAGTAGACTTACTGTAGATTTTTATCCACCATCACTTTATGCGCATTACCAACGGATCTCATAAGTACAAGCAAGAGGAATGACTACAGCAAGCACAAACGGTCCCAATTTTAATATAATTTGCACGGGACAAGTGTTTTAAAACAGACTTGAAAAATTGAGAACCTATCCTTTAATTTACTGTCAAAGGAAAACTGAAGGAACCGGAGAAGCGCAGCCATACAGGAAGTTGTAAGAAAAGAAAAAGAAACTGTTGCTTAAGGTCAGGTTTTCTAGTCTTAGCCAAATCATTCAACCTAGCGTCTTATGCAAATAAAATATAACTAAATTATTTGTAAAGTAATATTTAATTCAAAAACCTTCAGAAAAAACACGTCAGTCAAACTTTAAATATATATAGTAATTAAGAGCTTTAATTAAATCTCTCCTCTAAAGCTATGTCCTAGGCAAGTAAGTTCAATATTTGACTAACCTTACATGACGAATAACTATAATATAAAGGTTATTCCTGTGTTTATGTCATGCTCTAGATTAGCCTACTGATGCAGTCTATGTTACATGGCCGTTATTTCAATTAAGAAAGTATTACGGACGTATTTTTAGAGGTATAGAAATCACTAATGGGCATGAGTTAAAAAAAAAAGTAAAATATCCCCAAAATGAAAGGCACTGCAATACAATCTCTTTCATTGTCATACATGAGTTTGACTGTAACCCCACAGCACAGTAACAATCTGACCTGTAGCTATTAATAGGCCTAGTTTGTTGTCCAGCTCTTGTCATATATAAGTTATGCATATAAAAGTTTTAGACTATGTGTAAATTTCATATTTGTTTAGCATCTTAGCTTTGTTTAGCTGTACGTCTGCATTTGTATCCTTCAGTAAATGTGTTTTTTTGTGTGAGTATATTCAGAGCTAATGAGAATCGGCCAGTTTCATTATTGGCCAATAAAGTCGATTCTGACCTTTTTCAAAAAATAAAACAGAAAATTAAATTTTAAAATACAGTTGTACAGAACGCAATTGCCTGAACATGAACACGGCCTTTGAAAATGTGTTTAAATTTTCTTCTTTTTTTTTTTTAAACTTACCCTCGCGGTATGGGGTCATCAGGTGCGTGTGCGCGCACAGGCTGAGCGGCGGCCATGGGCACGAGCCGCCGGTCCAGTGGATAAGAGGACTCTTCCATGGTGCCAGTTTCTTTTAAAGCTCTTGTTGGTGGTTTTCAAATAAAAACCTCGCGGTTAATTCGATGTGCTCCCCGTGAGTCGACTGCCTCCAAATGAAATGTCTTCGGGCGTTTTTCAGTTGCTTTTTATGCAGAGCTTCCTGTGGAACGCAGGAATTGGATGGACAATCCCAAACCGGAATTCCTGTGAGTGTTTGCCGCTGATAAAACCCCTCTCCTGCACAAACACTCTCCATCCTGCTCAAACCGAATCTGATTTTGAAGCATTTTTCTGTCTCCATTGTGGTGCAGACATCTTGAAGGGGGCAAGTGCCTTCAGCCTTCTCACCTCAAGGCCTTCTGCTGCCTTTGCAGTCTGATGGAAAACACAGGAATCATCACTACTGGACGGTTATTTGTATTTACCGAACCTCACACCTAGCTTAACTGTTATTTCAAATATTTCAGCTGAAGGCACAGTGGGAGCTCATATAGGCCGGTGTTTACAGTGGTTAAGGTCACTGTGAGATCAAATCTGTCAAATTGGAGCTTGTTAAACTGCTGCAAGATTAGAACGAATTTTCTTTTTCCTCCTTCCGTTTGTGCTTCTGTTGTAGCACAGACCAGTGTGAGGAACAGGTAGCAAATGTTTAAACAAAGACTATTTAATATTAATTTTGTCCCTCTCATCCTCACTGGCAAAGAGACAGTTTGGACATGTTCAAGCTTTAAAAGATGCTTGTGTTGATCCTGACATTAGCCTGTAACATATTATATTTATTTATTTCATAATGTGGTTAGAATAATTCTCAAAAAACATGGTAATCCAATCAATTTTAAAATTCTGAAAACATTCTTACAACAAGGTCCATTCATTATTGTTCTGGAGGCTTCAAAGAGAACAGAACAGCTGCTAAATGCACCTTGTGGTCAGATGTGCAACTGTTTCCAAATTCACAAATTAACTTTAAACCTCAAATTTTAAACGTATTTCCTTCACTGAAATTTCTTGGCCCACAACATAGCAGAATTTGAACATTTTAGCGATTCAGTAGTAAAAGAACAAACTCCTGCACGCTGTGTTGACTCACTTTATTCACATTTCGGTCCTTAGACCCTCACAGTGTGCAGGATTTTTCTAGTTTATCATCCAATGCGCCTGTCCATAAGACTTTCTGGAGTGCAAGAACTTGGTAGTAACTGAGTCAGTAGTACAAATTAATTTGAATTACCTCTTATGAAACCTGTTTTTTCGTATTTACTGGTATCATAAGATATCTGGAGTTTGTTGGATGGGGTCGTACCTGGGTTCAGATGGGGCATTAATGTGAGCCTAAATAGCTTTCTGTAGCGGTAGCTGTCATGTTAAAGACGGACTGGCTGCTCCTCCTCTGCCTTTAAGCTGAGCTTGACTGAGATCAGTCTGACAACGAGGACTCATTTGTCATTTTAAGTATGTGCAGAACCAGACCACATACGCAGACAGTTAAATGTTCATGCACACATGCACAAACACGTTTTCTGTGTGTGTGTGTTTGGTTGAGTGACTGGGCTTCAGGGGGCATGAACCAGAACTTCATTCAAATGGAACAGAGCATAAATGTATGATGAAAAATTACTTGATATATTGTCATATTTTTTTCCATGTTCAAGTTTCTTTCTCTTCTTGTTCTGCAATTATACTGCTGATGAATACTTAGTGTTTGGTGTTCTGTCAGTCTTTATTTAAGCGCTTACACTGACTTAATGTATGATCTGACCCTCCCTGCATACAAATAACTATTTTCTGTGCGATAACAAAGAGTCTACGTGCTGAGGCACCATGGGAACACTTCACTTCGGGGTCGCAGGTGACCACACACACCATCAAGGCTGATCGCTCAGAGGGGGCACATTAGAATATAGAATGCAAAATCAGTGTGGGCTTGTTTGTGAATGCGCTGGTGTGTGTGTGTAAGCTTGTGTAATAGAGACTGAAGTGGGAGGGTATCTCTTTTTAAGGAACTCTTTTCATTCTTTGAAATCAAGACTTGGCCCACACAAGCAAAGTTTTGCAGTCAGTGTTCCAGATTTGTCCCAGAGAAGATGCGGGAGGGAGGGAGGGAAAAAAACTGAAGCAAAGCAGCACTTCCTCTTTGAGAGGAAACAGGAAAAGGCTGGGGGAGCAAGATTCTGGAGCCTGCTCCCTTGGAACAATAAAAATCTCACTTTGACAGGAAACGGATCTGCGTCAAAGAGGGCCTGACAGATTTTGCTAAAGGGCAGTAGCAGTGACCCTGGTTAGGGCATGAACAAGAGGGCAGATGTGCCCAACAACAACTCTAAAATACATTAAGTAAATGGAATACATTTTAATACATAGATATCAAGTCAATACTGTGTAGACAGGTGTGCAAAGCATGCATCTACATGAATGCACGGAAGATGTGTAACGTCCAACCCTTTGCAATAAATGTGAGACGGAAAGGTAGAGGACATAATACAGATTAAAGCTTTTTTGGCTTGCGTCAGTCTCTTGGTATATTTTTGTGTGAATTTGTACAATTAGTGTGTGTGTGAGGAAGCATTGCATAGCATTTACATTTGCTTTGACACAAAGTAAGTGTTATATTTGTGGTAAATGGTTAATAGCTGTGGGCTCCTTGAAAAATCTGATACAGGATCAACGTTTTTAGGATTTACACAGATGTTGACAGCACTTCTCCTAGTGACTTTGAGGTCACTGACATATCCATTGTTATGACAAATGCCCACCCAGAGGCTTGAAGCTAACACGATGTTTCCACAAAAATGGTTTTATCTTCTTTTGAAAAATGCCCAGGTATATGCCCAGTAGCTGTAGTATCATTACATTTTATATGAATTCAATTTTCAATTCAACTTTAAAACTTTTTGTTCTTTCCGTTTATCTCCCTCTTAATGTTTTAGGTTTAAGTGTCGTTTGTCAATGTTTTACGGTCAGGATTTAATCAGCACCACTAATTCAGGAACGTAAGACAGCAGGAGAAACAATGTGTTATATAACAGCAGCTTTTAGAGATTTGATACTTTAATATGGTGCAACATGCATTGCTTTCTAAAAAAGTGAAACCAGATGTAATGTTGACGTGATTGTGTTCGTGGTTGACTGTAATAAATAGGCAGAGATGGGTATGATGATATGGAGACTCTGCAGTTGTGCAACAATATTCCTACATTTCCCACACATTTCCTATATTTTATTTTATAACTGTTATGTCAACAAATGCTGAAATGCCAAACTGCCATTGTGCCAGATTTGATCAGCTCTGCTGATTCACACGTGACCCTTGAATGAGATGAGGTGCTGCATGCTGTTGCTGCTCTGTAGGATTTCCATGCTGAGCAGCCAAACAGGACATCCTGTTGTCCAAGGCCTGCCACCAATACCATCCCCAGCATCAGACAAAGCAAGAGGCGTGCGCTTATCCAAAGCCCTCCCGGAATTGAAAAGACTTTGTGCTGGTGGTCCTGGCACTTCCTGTGTTCCCCTTCAATAGCCAGAGGTGGTTTCAAAATACATAATTCAAAACTGAGACTGAGACTTCAAAACTTCAGAATTCTTAGATATCCATGACTAATTTTGTCCTATGTGCATATTTAGTATGCGAGTGCATGTTGTAACGACCTCCTCTCCTTCATACAGTATTTCCGTCCTCCTGCTGCCAGCTCTCCTTGTCGGTCTGTCATCAACAGTGTGGAGAGATTAGGGAGTTTATACACATTCCACCAAACTCCATGTCTGAGAAACACATGTGAGTCTGATTGGTTTATTTACCATAGTAATCAAATTCTCCTGCTTTGAGACTAATGTTTGGAACAGTGCTGTGTCCAATGTGGTCCACCGTCTCTCAAGATTTGTTCTTTGAGACTTCAATAGTGTTAAGTGTGGACACTCACAGTGTTGCCATGCTAATCCTGAAATATTTTTTCCAGCTTGTCCCAAAATGATTTAATGTTCTGTACCTGCACAAATATGCATTGCCTCTGAGGTGTTACAGCAAGAAACACACATGAAGAGGAATATTTCTTATATAGGCTATTATATTTCTTGTCTATGCAATTAACCATAGTGTTGCCAACTTTTATGATGGCTTGTCAGCAGCAGTATTTGGCATTTGACTGTTTTGTGTGTTGTTTCCATGGTATCCTTAGATCTTCGCTGTGGATCATTATCCAATATTTGCAGAAATAGACTAAACAGGGAAGTGAAGCTGGCATGAAAACATGATTCATTTCAAGAATCGTTAAAAAGACATGAAACACATGTGGGTTTTAGAACTCTTTCAATGTCTAATTAAATACGTTTGATATAAAAGTGCAGATTAAGTTTTTAAAAGGGATAAATTGAAGACATATTTTGTCCCAATACATGTACTCTCATAGGTATGGAGATATTTCACTAGATAATAATAAGCTTTGTCCTGTTGGTTGCTTTAGATGATACGTCAGGGGATCACCAAATTCAGTAAGATGCATCATCTGGGGAACATGAATGGCAATCCATTAAATATATGCTGAGATATTTCAGTTAAGACCAAAGAGGTAGACCAACAGATTGACATCGGCATCATCCGTAGAGCTAATAAGAATACGGCCGTCCTAGCAGAGTGAGGCAGTGCTCACAGTCACAGCTGTGTTTTGAGCTAAGTCCTAACATCCACATGCTTAAGTGCTCTCAAAAACAATGCCAACGTGTTGATGTTCAGCAGGTATAATGTTTACACTGTTTATATATCAGTTTAGCATGTTAGCATGCTAACATTTTAATTAGCACTAATAACAAAATATAGGCCTCAGTTGTTTGCTAATAAGTAAGTATTGAACAAAGTGTAACTTTATGATCACCAAAGTCTATTGGATTCATCCTTTGGGGAACATGAATTTAGCAAAATTTCATTGCAGCTACTTTAATATTTGACAATCAATCTTTCTGTTTCTCCAAGCTAATTGTAAATTAGTGTTGTGGGTTAGGAAAGTCCTGCATGTCATGTTAAAGTTCCTGTAACTTTGTAGAATTTACTATGTAATAAGGCAGAAATGCCAAGAAATATATAGGAAACTGATGAACAATTAACAACATTTCTGTCATCATGCTACAGCAACACCTGAAATTAGGGTTGACTGAAACATTTGCTTGCTTAAGAATAATTTGTTTTCAACTGAAATTAACTTGTGGGCATTAGTTCTCACAGTTACCTCCAATCCTAGTTTCTTCTGATCTTATCTCTCAGTGTGTGAACTATAGCAGAAGATGCAGGCCTCTTAACCAATATCCTAACTCCTCATAGATCGCCACATAAACTCATACGTCCTAGAAGGTCTTTGTTATTGCTTTAACTGAAAGGCTCAACATGCTTCTCTGTCTGCAGCAAATGAAGAAGCGCAAGCGGTCAATTTTATAGATTGTCGATGCATCCTAGTCTGGCGCAGCTCTGATGACAGCCACAAGTATGTTGTCCACACCGCTAAAATAGGGGGATCCTACATCAAAAGGGACTGAGTGACATCAGGGTGGAGCAGAGAGCAGGAAGGTTTCTGTTCAGCCAGGCTGCCATCTGTTCCAGAGCTGTCCTCTGGGAAAGAAGGCACCGGCCCATTAAGACCAAGACCACCCAACACAACGACAGCTCCTTCCCAAGACTAACCATCTAACTAACTTGCAATAAAACGGATATTTACAAGCACAATCACATCATATCATTTGCTTTATTTATAAAATTGTCAACAAAGTATTTGAATTAGGTATAATGATGGTCAAAGCACAGAATGATTGAACATCCTGTTGAATGACGTATTGAGTCATTAATTGTTGCATCTTGTTACATTACATGACTTGTAATTTTGCACATCTCAAATATAATTACATTGTGATGTAATACACAGATAAATAGATAAATGCATACATATTTTCTTTATAATTGTAGAATAAGAAAATCAAGAGTTTTGCTTCAAATGTCTGCATTATGTCACTGCGATGACTTCTAGTATCACATATTGCCTCATCTGGATAACATCTGAAATATGTCAAATTTGTGCATTTTTGAGTCAAAATTTTAAAAGATAGCATTTCCCCTACTCAGCTTTAACACTTTCCCCTCAGCAGAGAGCAGATGTTTTTCAGCTTTGTCTCAGATGTCAGTGTAGTTTGAGAGCAAAGAGAGAACATTTAGTGGAACATGCAGGAGTGTAAGTTAAGAGTGAACTGCTGTCAGAGGAGCAGCATGACTTCTTACGCTGATGAGATGTTTATGAGAATCCAGATCTCTGTGTGTGATGAGATGCTACCCCGCTCTTTCTGTCAGCTTATAAGTTGATTCTCATTGATGTGGTGAATTGATTGTGGGGAGTGTGCAGTCTTGCAGTGCAGCTCTATAGTGAAGTAAAGTACTGTTTGAATTGTATTTAGAGGAGCCATCAGTGGACCACAGAGAGGGAATACCAACCCGATGCTGTTACTTTCTCCTAAAGTCTTAATGATGGGTTCATTAAAAAGGTATCTAGCTCACTGAGTAAGCACAGATGGCCAAGAAGCAGTTATGGTATATCAGACAGAGACTGGAGGAAATTTATGTCAAACCACAGCTGAACCCCAGGAAC